TTTATCATTCCAGCTGTGTAAGAGTATTTAAAGTTGTGCTTACAACCTCAGCCTGTTAGCCCTAGCTAAACAGCCTCATTTGCTTCATCTGCTTGCGTCTTGCTGCTTGTCATTCTACGCATTCTTCCAGATGTAACTCTGGACATGTCCTATTTATTCTTCTCTGTGCTTCCCTTCTCTCCAGGTTCTTTTTCCCCAGTGGGATGGGTGGCCAACAGCAAAAAAAAAATTGTTGTTGCAGGAAGCTGAAATCCAAATGTATATACATTTTTCTGCCTAAACACTACCAAACAACTCTCATGTTCTCTTGTTCTTCCTTTGTATGGAGGTGGCATTGTGGATGTGTGCTTTTGGGATACATCTGTAGCCCAGACTAACTACTTGTTACAGATCCTTGATGTGGCAGTGTGGGTCAGGGGAGGAATGTACTAACTAGAGCAATTCTGTGGTTACCATCTGAATCTCCTACAATTTAACTCAATTCTGACACTGTCTGATATATTGTCAGATCCCACAGGTTAAGAGCTCAGTCCCACAAGACTACTTCCAGTGCCAATCACAAGTCCAGGTTGTTGTCTGTACTTCTGACAGATGGACTGTAAACCAGAGAGTCCCACAACCCTTCTCTCCTTGGGGTATGATTAATGTGAGAGCAATTCACAGAACTCAGGAAAATAGTACATATTAGGAGTAGAAATGCTGGGTCAAATGGAAAATGCTTAAACCTTTTAAGTAAGAGTATAGTAAGACTGTACTTAAATTTTTCTGATTCATTTTACATCCTAACATGTATATATGTGTTCCAACTTCTCCATTCCTTTGCAACCTTGTTACTGTCTATCTTTTTAATTTAAATTGGTTGTGAAAAGTGCCTAGGCCTGGTTTTCATTTGCATTTCCCTGATAGTTCATAATGTTGATTCATGTTTTATATATGTTTTTATCATTTATACTCCCCCCCACCCTCTTGAAGATAGAAACTTTTGATAAAGAAAAAGTAAAATAAGTGGATGGGAGGACATGTATATGATAATCTTTCTGATTTCTTGTAGGAGTTCGTTTATTTTTTTAGGAGTTCAAGTTTAAAAGTGAAATATGCATTTAAAATTAGAAAGACTGGCCTCCCCTGGTGGCGCAGTGGTTGAACACTGGGCTGCGAAGCTGCCTGCAGCCTCTGCAGTGCTGATTCAATCTCCAGCCACCAGCGAGGGAGGGTCCCACTTGGCATGCAGACCTCTCCTGCCACGCCCGCTGCTCCCCTCAGCAGTGCATTTCGTCAGTCTGCCTCTTCTGTTCCCCGCCCTGGCTCTGGTGAATTCTCTCACCCTCCCGCACTTCTGACTGTACCCAGTGCTTGTATAAATAAATAAATAAATCTTTTTAAAAAAAAAAATTAGAAAGACTTTAACCTTTAGTGTTTTTTTTTTTTTTTATAACAATCTGTTGACCTTTGAGGGGGTTTTAGGAAATCTTCTAAAGCGAAAAACGAGTTTGAAGGTCTGTAGTTCTGTCACTAAAGATTTTTTTTTCCCTATTTTGACTCCTGTTTTTTAGTATTACAATATGTGTGTAATGTAATGGTAATGATAATTACACTGAATGATGGAATTTTTTTTTGAACTGCTGGATTATTTAATAAGCCTGTTCATTTTAAAACTTAAGTTTGTTAAGCTTTTTTAAAAATGTGGGGAGGTGAAACTGGTTGAGCTGTTAGTGACACAGCTTTGTAATAAACACAGCTTTATTATTGAATGGTAGAACTACTTAGAGCACATGTTAAAATAAGTCCCCTGACTTTCTATTCTTCCGTAGCACACTATAGTGGTCATTTTAATTTGAACAAGTTGCATCCTACCAATGTTCTGAGGACTGAATTCCTTCTCATCAGCGTTAAATGATGTGTACCTTTGGAATTGTGTTTGCCTTTATGAATTGATACTTAACATTCGTTAAGTCACATGCTTTGGCGCTGTTTAATACATTGCACTAATTACACTAATTATACCTGATCCATTTTGTGTTTGGTAATCACCCCTCTGATTTTAGGGAACAGTAGTTAGATTCCTCCAGTCTCCTTGTATTTGCAATAAAGGATTTGTATATCTTATTTGGAGAGTGTCTGTTCACATCTTTGCACTTTTCTAAACTGGATTGTGTTCTTCTAATTGAATTGAAAGAGTTTTTGTTTTTTTTTTTTTTTAAAGATTTATTTATATAAGCACTGGGTATAGTCAGAAGCGTGGGAGGATGAGAGAATTCACCAGAGCCAGAGTAGGGAACAGAACAGGCAGACTGATGAAATACACTGCTGAGGGGAGCAGCGGGCGTGGCAGGAGAGGTCTGTGCGACATGTGGGACCCTCGCCGGCAGCCGGGGATTGAACCTGCGCTGCAGAGGCTGCGGGCAGCTTTGCAGTCCAGCGCTTAACCGCTGCGCCACCAAGGGAGGCCCAATTGAAAGAGTTCTTTATATATGTCTAGGTTCATTCTTTTGCATGTGAATATCAAGTTATCTTTTGCCTTTTTTTTCCCTGTGTCTAACCCGTCTTGTTTTGGGAATGCCAGTTACATATATTAAATATCTGAAGTTGTTCGAGTTGACCCATAAGGGCCTTCCCTAGTGGCGTGTATTGCATCAGTGTATTTCATCAGTCTGCCTGTTCTGTTCCTCACTCTGGCTCTGGTGAATTCTCTCACCATCCCGCACTTCTGACTGTACCCAGTGCTTGTATAAATAAATAAATAAATCTTTAAAAAAAAAAAAAAAAAAAGAGTTGACTGATAAAATTTTTCCTTAGTATCTTTACGCTTTTTCATTTTGGGTAGTTTCCATTGCTGTATATTCACTTTAAACACTGTTCAACTTTAGAAGTTCAATTTGTGTGTCTAGCTATCTTGTGTCATTAGCAAAATTTTTTTTTTTTTTTTTTTTTTAGCTTCTGATTGAAATACAGTTATAGTTACTCTAAATGTGTATCTGCTATTTATATCATCTCTTCTGGACTGGTTTTGATCAGTGGGTTTTTTGCTTCATTATATATTTCATTTTCCTGTTTCTTTGCATACCTGGTCATTTTTTATTAGGTGCTAGATACTTTGATTTTTACCAAACAAATGTGATGCATATTTTTATAGTCCTGTAAGTAGTGTTAAACTTTGTTTTGAAATGCAGTTATTTAGGAACACATTGGTTCTTTTGAGACTTGTTCTTAAATTTTCTTAGTTGAGAACAAAGTGGCCTTCATTGTAAGGCCAGTTTTGTACTGTTAATAAGACCAATGCCTTGTGGGTTAACATTTTTGCCTTTGACTTTTGAGAATACCTACTCTCCTTGCTTCTCTATGAACCTGGAGGTTGTTGCCTCTCCTCCTTTTGAGTTTTGTTTTCCTCTGGCTCAGGCAGTTTCTCACATGCATGTGCTGATCAGTACTCAGTTGAAAACTTGAAGGGAACTTTCTTTAGATCCAGACCTCTTTATCTGTTCATCCTCTCCTTTCTGATATTCTCCCTTTGTAAATTCTAGTCACTTTCGCTCCTCTCGTTCTTACATCTCCTGAACTATAGGGAGATGACTGTGCTTCATCTAGAGCCCCCAGCCTGCTCTACTGTCCAGGAAGTAAGCTGAGGCAGTTATAGGACCTTGTTTGCTTCCCATCCTTCAGTAATCACTGCACTGGTTGGTGTTTATAATTTCTGAAGTTCATTGATTGTCTCTATTGTCTGGTTTTGTTGTTTTCAGGTGGCATAGTAAGTTCATGACATCTTGATTAGAAGTAGGAACCTCAAGATTGCTTTTACAAACAATAGAAAACATTAATTATTTCTCAAAGTCTGTATTTTTCCTTTGTATCTATTTCTTTCTTTCTTGGACTAGATCCTCATACCGTCATATGAGTAGTAAATCAGTAAAATTTGAGAAGGAAAAAACACAAAAATTAAATTCCCCCCCAAAATAAAGTAAATTATTATAAGTGAAACTCCCCCACATGAAGAAAAAAAGATTATGGAGAAATTTCTTAGATTGTACAAAGAATTAACCAAGAAATGCAAAAGTACAGAAATAATATTACATTGGAAGGAATTATGGAATCCTGTATCTACTACTGTTTATGTTGTTATGACAGTATCAGGAATGTCTCAGAGTGAGTGTTTTTCTTGTAATTACACAGCTACAGATTTTATTTAGTTACAATTTTATTTAGTTTAGTTACAATGCTCTATCACTTGGGGTAGTCTGGTCCTAAAACTTTAACTGAGAATATTTTGTTTTCCTTTTTGTTTTTGGACAGTATCCCTGTTTTCTGGAATTTAGCTATAAACAACCTCTGAGATCCTGGAGTTGATGTTGTGTGTGGTTTTCTTTTCTTTTTTTTTTTTAAGATTTATCTATGCATGCATACAAGAGCTGGGACACAGGCCAGAGATTCGGGGGGTGAGAGAGGATCCACCAGAGACAGAGTGAGAACAGAACAGGCAGATTGACTGAAATACACTGCTGAGGGGAGCAGCGGGTGAGATAGGAGAGGTCTGCCTCACTATGTGGGTTTCTCCCTGGCCGGCCTGGGGATTGAACTTGTGCTGCAGAGGCTACGGACTGCCTTATAGTGCGGTGGTCAACCACTTGTGCCACCAGGGAGGCCCTGGTTTTCTTTTTTTAATGTCAGAATCAGTCATGTTGAAATACGGGATTTGTCATTATATGAATTAGTCATATATTTTTTTTCATGTTGTAGCTGAGATAATGTTAAAGGATAAAGTCTTAACTCTTGTGCTCTTAAAAATAAAGATTCAATCTATTGATATATTGCCTTAAATTTTTTTCTTTCAGTATGCTAATTGGGGAACTTACAGCTTTATCAAAGCAATAAATTGCTCTAGAATAGATGAGGTTTCTTCTGTTTACCCCTTCATAATTTTTTGCACAATAGATTGTCATTTAATCCAGGGACCAAATTAGGGAGAACACTATATAATCCTGGCCTCATTTTCTCTTTTCTTATAGGAAAAGTAAGAAGCTTAAGCTCATCTTTGTGGTCATTAACTCACTTGACAGCTTTGCATCTGAGTGACAATTTCCTGTCCCGCATTCCTTCAGACATTGCCAAGCTACATAATCTGGTGTATCTGAATCTGTCCTCAAACAAAATCCGGAGTTTACCAGCAGAACTCGGAAACATGGTATCACTCAGGTATGCAGATTGAATTCAGTATTTAACAATATATTCCTTAAAAACAAAATACAGCATTCATTTTGTTAGGAAGTAACACTACCGAATAATTGGTATTTGAACAAAAGTTAGCTATATCCTTTACATAGTTTTTTTTTTTTTTTTGAAACTGTCAGTAAATATTTAATCAATTAATTATTGCCTGAAATTAGCTTTGTTGCTGTGTTTTGTGTACTGTGTTTTATTCTTGAACCAAATGTTTGGACAAACTAGGGGCAAACAAATAGAAGGCAGATACACGGATATACACTCACCTGTGACACACCGTTAGGATGCTTTCTCCCCACTAAATTCTGGGGCATCATTTTATCCTTAATACCGGTTCCAGGAAATCACTGATAATTAGTGAAACCTTTTGACATCTTAGGGCTTGTACACATAATAATAATAAAGCCTGGACTTGAAAAAAGTTAGAATTAGTTGTTGAATTTGGGAAACTATGCTGTGGGTCTATAGGAGGTGGGTAATAAGCAGAGTCACAGAATTTAGATGGGAATCCTGACTTTGCCTTTTACAAGTTGTGTGAATTTTGATGTGCTTCATAACCTTGCTGAGCTCCTTATCTGTATGTAAAGTTGCCGTGATACATACCCAGCCAAGGCTGAGACTACAGATATTTGAGAAGAGTAGAAAACTACTGAATGGCACATAATGTATTTAATAAATTATTTTTTAAACCTGTTTTTATAAGGTAGATGAGATCTACTCAAGTTGACTGAATATAAAGACAACCTCCAGCCTTTTAGTTAATCCCAGTGGAAAGTCTTGCCCCATTTCATCTTACCTGCTTTTTTGTGATTCCACTGACTTTGCGGCTTCCTTGTACTGTATACTGCACAGTAAAAAAAATACGGACCTTGTGAAAGTTTCTTTGCCCCTATTGCTCCTGGTCCAACCTTTTGACTTTCTGTAGACTTAATTTTACTTATTGAGTAATACTATGACTGTTTTATTCCCTGAACCAAATTTACTTAAAGAGCCTCCGTTCCCATGTGATATACTTAGAAATAAACAGCAACCAATTATTCAGCGTTTGTTTTGCTTGTTCAGTTTATGACCTCACCAACCTTTAGTTTAAACAATAGTAGCCAAGGTTCACTTAAATTTCAAGAACCAAAGATTATAGATACAGTTCTCATTCACATTTAAAATTTGATAAGGAAAGCTTATTTTCGGAATTTACCAGTATGTCAGTTTTGGGTCTTTGTTTTTTCTTACTGAAGATTCTGTTGCTGTTTATATTATGGTTACCTGTACAAAACAAATCATTGAAATAGTCATTAACAGATAATAGAACTACCATTACTTCTAATGTACAGCTAGTAATTTGGTGAAATGTTGATCATAAACTTAATTGTGCAACTATCACAAACTCTTTTACTATGTGATCATTTTATTTCCTTCAGCAAATCATATATTAGGCTGTTTTATCATTTCCACTTTCTTAAGTATGTGTAGTAGATCCTGTGTGTTCTAGAACAGTGCTGCTCTCAGGGTGATCTGTGCCAGGTACACAGCAAGTGAGAGTGATTTTGAATCTGTTGAATGTAGTACTCCTAATGGGATGTGTATTTTGTTTGCCTTTTTTTCCTCATTTCATTTTTTTAGTCATTTTCCCCCTATATTTTATATATGTATTGGTCTGTGAAAGTTTAGTTCTTTTTGTTATGTTTTTACCACATATGGTTTGAGAAGCACTGTATTAGACATTGGAATATAATACAACATTTTTGTCTTAGGAGTTTATATTCCTAGAAATTAAATTGTTGATTTTAGCTGTTAGTTAAAGGTTACTGTATCTTCTGACTTCCTGGAATTTTTACATCAACAGGGAACTCCATTTAAATAACAACCTGTTACGAGTTCTACCTTTTGAGCTGGGAAAACTGTTTCAGTTGCAGACTTTAGGCCTGAAAGGTATGCCTTCCCATATTTGTGCTTCTTATGGTTTGTATGTATGTCTTTGAGTCTAAAGAAGCCATAAGAGGGAATCTTTTTGCCAGGGGATTTTCAGGCTCTTTCCTAAACTTCCATCAGTTTTTTAGCTACATCCCAATGGTTTTCTTTCTTGTCTATCTGTAGATAGTCTAGTCTTTGTATTCTTTTTGCTTCTAGCCCAGCTTTGCTTTTCTAGTTTCTGTCAGTCATTTCCATGTTTTCATAGTACATTCTGGGTTCATATTTTATTTCATCTCACTCTAAATACCTTTTCCCCTTACTTTCACATCTAAGAGGTTCAGAAAGTGAAGAAAAACAATAAATAAAAATTTTGATCTATTTGGACCTAATAACACTATTTGAGCGACTTTTAAAAAATTGATTTATGGGGACTTGACTCATGTTAGAATTTCGGACATAACTGATTCAGTATGAACTGTTGGGAAACCAGTGTTAAACTAGCAAGATTAAAAGTCACATTTTAATAATATATTAATGTTTATAAGTTTATCACATTAAGTAATTCTTCACCAAGCTTGCCAGTCTGTCCATATTACTCCAGTTGATTCCTTTAAAAAAAAAAAACACACACACACATAATTCTTCAAGAATTGCATTATTTCTTAAAAATTCAGTTATAAAATGATATTCCTATAAATCTATTTCCTGTCGTGAAAGTAATATTATTCACAGAAAAAATTAGATGGACAACTACAAATAAGACTAAATGATTTACAGATGTATATAAAACTGTATTAAACAAACATCAGCTTTATAAATGGTTCTTTGGAAAGTTTTTTTTTTCCTGTGTGACTGGACTGACTGAGGTCACGGAAATACCAGGGAGATAAACCTAATTTGTTGCACATATCAGTAGCTTGCCTTTTCTGTAGCCTCTCCCTAAGGTAAGCAAGCCTATCTTTTAAAATTTTCTGATAGTAAACTTAAAAACAGAAAAAGGATAAAATGCAGCAAAGTGTATCCACATACTGACCACACTTGAATCAGCAATTAATATCTTGTTTATTAAGGCAAAACAGAACATTACAGAATTATTAAAGGCTCTCTCTATTACTCTTTTAGTCCTTTTCTCTGTAATCTTACAGTATTTATTTTGCAATCTTAATTCATATTCTAAGGTTTCACTATTTAAATTTAGGGTCATCCAGTCACAAATTCTCACACTGATTTTTTTTTTTTAAAGATTTATTTATTTATGCATGTAAGAGCTGGGGTACAACAGGCCAGTGATGCGGGGAGTGGAGGATTCACCAGAGACAGAGTGGGGAACAGAACAGGCAGATTGACTGAAATACACTGCTGAGGGGAGCAGCAGGCGAGACAGGAGAGGTCTGCTGTGCTGTGTGGGATTCTCCCTGGCAGGCTGGGGATCGAACTTGTGCTACAGACGCTGCAGATCACTTCATAGTGCGGTGCTTAACCCGTTGGGCCACCAGGGAGGCCAACTCTCACACTGATTTAAATGCAGTAAAGCCGCTGAAAATAAATGCCCAGGAGGGATAGAACAGTCTTCATAGCAACTTCATTTTGATGATCCCCTGCTCTTTTCTTTTACTGTTTTACAGCTAGAATTTTTCTTTCTTGGAAGTTCAGTTTCACAAATTCTTATTTAGCTTAGAGAACCTGTTAAACATAATTACATATATGTCTGTACTGGCAGTATTTCCACAGATTTAACTTTTTTTTTTTTAACAGATTCTATGTTATTTTCCTGTGCTTTGCAATTTGCACTTTAACTTTATTTAGTATCCTACCAGCTACTTCTTATTGTTATATTGTCCCTGTTCTCAGAAAACTTTTCTTATTGATTCTTAGGAACTATTCATATTGAATTACTCTGCCATTTAGTTGAAAAGTCATGTTAATTTGCTGTTGTCCATTCAGACAGAGCCAAAGTATTTCTGCCTCATGAATCAGTTTTACCATTATCTTTAAAGTTGATTACATGGGGCTATAGCTTGCTTTACTGATTTTTATATCTGTCCCTTTTCTTCAGGCTTGTTCTACAATGAAATTAGGGCAATAACCTTAAATGTGTATTCATTTTTTTTACTTTTTATTTTGTGATTCTTATAGATTCACACAATCTATAAGAAATAAATGCAGAGCAATATTTACTCTTTACTTAATTTCCCCAAATAGTGCCATCTTTCAGAATGATAGTATAGTTTCACAAGATACAGAACTTTTCCATCACCTGAGTATCCTTCTTATTTTCCTTTAATAGCTATGCTTACTTTATTCCTTCTCCTCAGTTCTTAAGTTGAACACAGATATGTTCTCTATTTTTATTATTTTGGCATTTCAGAAAATATTATAGAAGCAGAATCATGTTGTATATAACCTCAGAATGATTTTTTTTTTCCACTCAAGTTAATTCCTTCAAGATTTATCTAGGTTGTTGCATGTATCAATCCTTTATTCCTTTATATTGACAAGTAGCATCTCGTGGTATGGTTGTATCATGGTTTGATTTAAGCATTCACTCATTGAAGGGCATCAGAGTGCTGTTATAGATGAAGCTGCTGTGAATTTTGTATACAGGTTAATGTATGAACATAATTGTTCATTGCTCTAGGACGAATGCCAAGGAGTGCAATTGCTGGGTCATATGGTAGTTTCATGTTTATTTTTTAAAGAAATTGCCAGACTTTTCCAGCGTGTCTGTTATTTTACGTTACCAATATTGTCACTCTTATTTTAGCCATTCTGATAGATGTGCAGTCATATTTCATTGTGGTTTTAATATGCATTTCCTGATGACAGCGAACATCTTTATATGTGGTTATAAGCCACCAGTATTTTTGTGAAATACCTCTTCATGTCTCTGCCCATGCCCTATCCAATTAGATTGTTTGATTTGCTGTTGAGTATTGGGAATCATTTATATAATCTAGATACTAGATCTTTGTCAGGTAGGTGATTTGCACACATTTTCTTCCAGAATGCAGCTTGTCTCCGAGGATGAAGCTTAACAGGGTCTTTGGTGTAACAATTTTTAAATGTTGATAAAGTCCTTATTTTGGTGTCCAATTTGATAAGTCTTTGAATAGCTCTAGATCCCAAAGGTTTTCTCCTGTACTAAAAATGTTCTGCTTTTCTGTGCTACTTTGAAGGTGGTGATCCATTTTGAATTAAAAGAAGTGAAAATTTTTTAAGAATTTTAATTTTTTGCTTCTGTATGTCCAGTTGGTACAGCACCATTTGTTGAATAAGCTATCTTTCCTCCAGTGAATTGACTTCTGAACTTTTAAAAAACAGTTGGACAAACCTATTTTGGATCTATTTCTGGATTCTCTGTTGTTCCACTGATCTGTGTGCTTGTTTCTCTGCCAATACCATATAATTATTTGAAACTTGAAATAGGGTAATGAATCTTGAAATTGGATAGACTTCCACTTAAATCTTCATTTTCAAAATGATTTTAGGTACTCTGATTCCTTTGCCTTCCATATACATTTTAGAGTAATCTTGTTTAGTTACAAAAATTATTGCTGAGAATTTGGTTGTAATTGTATTAAATTCTTTGTATCAAATTAGGACGAATTGACATCTTTACTATGTTGAGTCTTACAATCCCAGGAACTGGTATAGTCTCTGTTTATTTAGGCTCTTGATTTTCTTTTTATCACTGTTGTGTAGATTTTGGTATAAAAGTCCTATAAATGTTTTGTTTGATCTATACCCTTTTTTTTGAGTGATTTTAAATTCTATTATATGTTAAATTTTGTTGTCTTTGTGTTCATTCTTATTTAGAAATACAGTGGACTTTTGTAATTTTATCTTGTATCTTTGTACCTGGTTGAATTCACTTCTAGAAATTCTAGAGTTGTTTTTGTAAATATTTTTGGATTTTTTTAATGTAGGAAATTGTCACTGTAAATAGGGATGGTTTTGTCTCTTTCCAATATGTGTTCTTTTTCTTTCATTTTCTTGCCTTATTGCATTGACTAGAACTTTTAGCACTGTTGAGTAAGAGTTGTGAAAGTAGAAATCCCTCTTTTTTACAGATCTTAGAAAGTATTCATTCTTCACTATGACCTCTGTTAGCAGTAGGTATTTTGTTAATGTGCTTCATCAGTTTGAGGAAGTTTCCATTTTTTGAAAATTTTTAATCATGAATTGTTTAATTTTATTAGATGTTAGTTCTTTTCTTTTTTTTTCCAATGTTAATTCTATACTAATTGATATAATCATATTACTTCTGGTAATTGATGTTTGAATATTGAACCAGTCCTGTATTCTTGGAATAAACCCCACTTGGTCCTGACATGTGATTCTTTTTATTTATTGCTGACTTATGTGTGCGTATTTTTTTTTTTTTAGGAATTTTTGACTCTGTTAAGGGATATTTACCCCTTTTGTTTTATTTGGTTTGGTTTATTTCATATTGGTTTTGGTAATGAAATTACCTGAAATTAATGCATTTGAAAATTTTCCTTATCCTCTGTTGTGTTCTTCCCACCAGTTGGTGTTGATTCTTTCAGTACTTGGTAGAATTTTCCAGTGAAGCAGTCTGGGATCTAGTGATTACCTTTCTGGTAGTTTTAAAGTTACAAATTCATTTCCGTTAATAAGTAAAGGGCTATTCAAATTACCTGAATTGAGACTTTGCACTTGTAATGCATGCAGTTGGTGCTTCACATTTCCCTCATAGCTCTGCTGTATACCATATCAGGTATACATTTTGATATGTTGTATTTTCATTTTAACTTCCTCATTGCATTATTAAATTTCTATTGAGGCTTCATCTTTGATCCATGGATTATTTAGTTTTCTAAGTACTTGCATATTTTCCCATTGTCTTTCAGTTACGGATTTTTAATGTGATTCCACTGTGGTTGAATATATTCTGTAGTATGCAGTTTCTGTCTCATTCTATCAATTACTGAATTTATTGTAGATTTTTATTTAACCTGCTTTCAATTCTTAAAATATGTTGTAGTTTTGTTTGGTAGTTATATGATTAAAATTACTGTGTCTTCTTGGGAACTGATCCTATATCATTAAAAATATCTTCTGTCACAGGTAATTTTATGTCCTCTAAAGTCCACTTTCTCTGATACTGTTACCACTGCAGCCTTCCTTATTAATGTTTGCACTATATATGTTTTCATTATTTCCCTTTCAACTGCTTCTATTGCTATTTTTGAAATGAGTTTCTTGTTGACAGCATAATCCACTTTTTTAATCCACTCTGCCAAGTACCTATCTTTTAATTAGTATATTAAAAGTGTTCATACTCAGTGCCTATATCTGCCATTTTATTATTTATTAAAGATTTATTAAAGTGGGGTACAGGCCAGCGGTAAGGGGGTGTGAGAGGATTCACTAGAGACAGAGTGGGGAGCAGAACAGGCAGACTGACTGAAATACACTGCTGAGGGGAGCAGCGGGTGAGTCAGGAGAGATCTGCTGCGCCATGTGGGTTGCTCCTTGGCCTGCCAGGGATCGAACTCGTGCTGCAGTGGCTGCGGATAGCTTTATAGGTTGTGTCTTAACCCCTTGTGCCCCTGAGGCCCCTGCCATTTTGTTTTTTGTTTTCTGGCTTTGTTTTTTATTTCCATTTTCTTTTCTTTCTTTTTTCTTTTTTTCTTATGGATTACTTGAACATCTTTTTCATTTCCATTTTGATTTGTTCGTAGTGTGTTTGAGTGTATATATATATTTATATATCTTTTTTAGTAATTGCTCTAGGTGTAACGTTGCATATACATAATTTATAGTAGTCTACTGATGTAACATTTTACCTGTTGGAGTGAGTATAGAAACTTTGTCTATTTCTGTTCTTGTATTTGTCCCCAATTTATTCTTTTAAATATTTCCTCTATATCCATTTAGAACCGAAGCAGTGTTATAAGTATTTTTAGTTGTCAAACATGATTTAGAAAATGTAAGAGAAGGAAACCTAATTGCCTCCTTTTGTAGCCATATTCTTTATTATTCCTTCCTAATGTTTCTTTTTTTCCCTATCATTTCTTTTCTATATAGAGAGCTTTTGTTAATGATTCTTTAAAGACGGGCCTGCTGGGAACAGATTGTCTTACTTTTCCATTATTGAAAATGGGTATACGATTTTGGATTGACAATTCTTTTCTTTGAATACTTGAGAAGTATTGTGCCACTTCTTTCAGGGTGTGTGATGACAAATCTGCTACTAATTGACTTTCCACTATTGATAGTGTTTCTGTCTGACTGCTTTCAAGATGTTCTTTGTCTTTTGTTTGCAAAAGTTTAATTATGATACTGTTTATTGTAGATTCCTTTGGGATTTGTTCTGTTTGGATTTTCTCAGCTTTGTAAAACCATAGGTTTATGTTTCTTGCCAGGTTAGGGAGTTTTCAGCTCTTATTTCTTAGAGTAGTTTTCTAGTTCTGTGCTCTGTGTCCTCTGCACCCAGAATTGTGATGACAGGAACATACACAGGGATCCCTGTGTTCATTTTATTCCTTTCTCTGTCCACATTGCTCTATCTTTTGATTCTTTCCTTTGTCTTTCTATTCTGCTGTTGAATCTGTCTTCTGGGCCTTTTATTTTATTCATTCTACTTTTTAGTCCCTTTTGAGTTATGTTTTATTTGCCAAAACTTTTTTTCTGAATCTTCCTATTATTACCCCCCTCACCTCCAGCATGTTTTTAATTTCTCACAGAAGTTTGTTTTTCAGTCGTGATTGCTTTATCTTTGTCAGGTCATTCTAGTGTTTGTGTCATCTATATTGAAATCTGATATCTTTTTTTTGTTTTTTCATTAAGTTTGAATCTTTGTGGTTTCTTGTGTAATGAGCAATTTTTACTCGATAATGAACATATTCTTTATTTTGTTACAGGGCTCTGGATTTCACCTAGACATTTTTATTATTTTTTCTGACTTTATTTAACACTACTCTGTTGGGAAAGGAGGGAGCTGTGTACCATATTAGGGAGGTAGAATTTCAGATTTCCCTTAACCGCTGACATTTGAGGGTACATCTAAATGGTGGTGGCAGTTAACTCTGTATGTGGTCTCCACAGTAAACTGCTTTGGAGTGACCTCATTATGACGAGGAAATGGTAAAAGTCTAACTCTGCTCAGCCTCTGACATCCACAGAAGGGACACCCTGTTACTGTGAGTTGAGCTGAAACTCACCTCACTCACATATACCACCTGGGAGTGTTGGGATATTCTTTTTCTTTCTCATAAGGGTGGAGATCTAGCCTTTACTGGCATGTGTAGAGATGATGCCATGTATGATTCTTTGGTGTTTAGCTGGAGTAGAGATGTTACTATTTTAAGGTTTTATCTTGTTTGACTGCCCTTTTCTGGTCTTTTCACTTCCATTGGATTTTCTTGTCTGTACACATTGGTGTTTAATTGTTGCTAGTTTCTTCAGTTACATATCTGGAATACAAAAAGCAAAAGATAAACACCCAAGGAACTTATCATTATATTGCTGCTCAGTCCTGAGAGCCCGAGCCACTGTGCTTTCTCACTACATTTCAAAGTTCTGTGTTTATTTACATATTATGTACAGGGTTCACCTTCTCTCATTCATTTTTCTTCCCTCTGAGGGCTTGGTACCATGTTTTAATTGTTCTTATTTGCTCAGTATTCCAGACAGTAAAGACATTAATTTAAAATATAAAAAAATTTCAAAAGGTAAGCAGATACTGGGGGAAAGTTTGACTTCAGCTGCGTTTATTAGTCATAAATAGATGTTTGCATTTGAATATGGTTTTTAACTTAGAAGGAAGGATCACAGAAGTAGTGGTCTCTAAATATGTTTTGCATTAGAAAGTAGTAAAAAAGACAGCATTAATGTAGGTCTAGTTAGAATATGCTGCTGACTTGTTACTAAGAAGTTTTTAGTTGACTTTTTTTTTTTTTTAAGATTGATTTATTTATACAAAAACCCGGGTACAGGCCAGATGCGGGGAGGGTGAGAGGGTTCACCAGAGACAGAGCAGGGAACAGAACAGGCAGACTGACGAAATACACTGCTGAGGGGAGCAGCGGGTGCAACAGGAGAGGTCTGCCACACGATGTGGGACCCTCGCTGCCTGGCCAGGATCGAACCCGTGCTGCAGAGGCTGCGGACAGCTTCAGAGCACGGTGCTCATCCGCCTGCGCCACCAGGGGAGGCCGTTGACTTCATTTTTAAAGATCTTTTTAGCCTAAAAGTTATACCTGTCTCATAGGATGGTGATTAAATGAACATTTCAGGGCTGTTGGTAGGTACAAAAAGCTATACATGTTAGGGAAGGATAATAGTATAATGCCATCGTGCAAAGACATATTTTATAAAATGTAGGAGTACATCTTTACCATTATAATTTTAGAATTCTAGAATCTTAAAAGAGGTCTTAATTTTCAACTAACTTAGTTTGTCTTTCCATCCATGTAATTTGGCTATCCAGAGAATACTCTCTTAACTCACAGGGCGGGTCATTTCATTTTAAATAGTTCAGTGTTTACCAACTACCTGTACTTTGATGTGGCTGTTCTTATTAGCTCCTGTCCTGTGATCCTTATCCTGCTGATTTAATCTAGTTGTTCACAAAAGAATAGGAAAAAAACAGGTTTCTGTTTAGACTGTAATATCTTTTTCTTTTTTTTTTCCCCTTTCTTTATTTGGTGTAGTTAGGGCTTTCCTCATTTAACCTGCCTTCTTTAGTCTATATTGTTTATTAGTCTTTCTTAAAGGGAGCTGTTGCAGCCAGAACATATACCGCTTGTGTGACATATATAAAAACTTTGCTGTTCCAAACTCACTGTTCTGTTATTTCTTATCTGAACATAAGAAAATCTGAGAGGATTTGAGACTCTTATCTAATGCATGTAAATCATTGCAGTGGAGTTCATTTTTGACACTTAGGAAAAAGTTAAATTTATGGAGTTATGATTTCATGGTTGTGGGGTTATTTCCTTTCCTAAGTGACTTAACTCTTGAACAGGTCTGTCCCATCTTGATTGTTTATTCAGAAGAATTTTAAACAATCTAAAGGCTAAACACATCCATTTGTCATTAGAATGTTTTCTTGTAAGCTTTGTTGGATTCTTAGATTTTGATTCTGATTCATGATACTGACTGTCATCTTTTTCTTCTCTAATTCTTATTTCCACCCTTCCACAATCCAGTTTCTCCCTACCCCTTCTGGTCATCATGAAAGTGTTGATGAAGTAGGGTCAGTTACAGAATATTACTAGGTATCTTCTGAGTTGACATCAGTCTATTAACATCTCTTGCTATTTCTATAGAACGTGGTATATTCTTTAAAAATAGAAAAAATATTTTCCTCTAGTTTGATGTTACTACAGACTGTGTATGTATTGTTATAGATGATCTGATAGTTTTGGTATATTTTTCAGTCTTGAAGTATTTTATTACTTCTCTTGGTTTTATTTTACCTATTCTAAAAATATTTCCAGGAAATCCACTTACCCAGGATATATTGAACCTCTATCAGGAACCTGATGGAACCAGAAGGCTGCTGAACTATTTGCTTGATAATTTGGCAGGTACTGCAAAAAGAAGTAAGTGGTCATTTATTTAAACCGTTCAATTAGGAAGATTTGTAAGAATATTGCTTAATTTTTTGTCTTGCATTCACTTAGTTTCATCAGAACAGCCACCTCCAAGATCTTGGATTATGTTACAAGAACCAGACAGAACAAGGCCAACTGGTTGGTAGCCTTATTTTTTTTTGACTCCTGTCTTTCCTTTTTGTTACAAACCTAGTATATTGTTGTCATGCTTTAGATCATGGGTAGCATTGTGATAGAATGCTTAAGGTTAATGTGGTTTTTAAACTCCACAACAATGAAATAATAACTCCATAAATTCAAGTAACTGTTTCCTAAGTATCAAAAATACAAGTAAATGCAGTGCAATTAAAGAATTCTTTAATTCTTACTTACTTGGTTTCTGTGTATACTGTGCATACTGTGCTATAGAAAGGATGCTGCAGAGCACTTTCTCAGTCATAGGTAAACCATCACCAGAGGACAATTGACATATCTCGAGAAATTTTGGATTGGTCACAATTGGGGTAGAATCTAGTGACTGGAGACCAGGGGTATTGCTAAGCATCCTACACTGCACAGTTCGCCATGACAAGGAATTTATCCACCCCCAATATCAACAGTGCTATTGTTGAAAAGTACTGCTATAAACTGTTAATCAAATTTAGTAAAATAAATACACCAAAATCTTCCTACAGTGGAAATTTCTAAACCCAAGCATGTTCCAAATATATTTGACACTACAAAATTGTAAGACAGCCAACATCTTTACTTAACAGAGAATTTGAACAAATGACCTCCAGTCTTTTTTATCTTAAATTGTATGAAAATAGTTTGGGAACTTCCATGACATTTGTAACAGAATTTGGTCTTTCTGCATGTATTAATAATAGTTACTCTGTGAAAGAAAAGTAATTTATATATCCTCCATTAGCAGTTGGCTAAGTGGCAAAGGGAATGTGGAAATGAGGAGCACTGGTAGTAGAGGCTGTAGGGCTCAAGTTCTTAGTCTTTTTAGCTTCCAGACTTTCTGTAAATACCTCTGTAGCAGGTAATACATGATATTTTTATTTGTCCACATGGCTGTCCTTCCTTTATTATCTAACTTTATATCCTTGTGTCTGTCATATGAGTAGCTTTTCAATGATTGATTAAAATTGAACTTAGTGTTTAAGTGAAAACTATTGAAATGGTTTTTTTCCCCTGCCACATGTGTGAATAAGTAAAGTTATCTTTCCTGCAGCCTTGTTTTCTGTCATGTGCTATAATGTTCTTTGTGATAAATATGCGACCCGGCAGTTATATGGCTACTGTCCAGCATGGGCACTAAATTGGGACTACAGGAAAAAGGCCATTATTCAAGAAATCTTGAGCTGCAATGCTGATATCATAAGTCTTCAGGTGAGTCATCAGAAAAGTATTTGTTTAAATTGCACAAATGCCTCAATATTGATAAAATAAGGAGCAATCTGGGAATGCATTATGCTGACACATTCAAATTCCCAGCTCCAGCAGTTTTTAAAATACTGACTTTTTATGTTGTTAGTGATTTCTGGGAATATTCACTCTAGCTGCTTTGCTTTATAGTACTGTGATGCACATGGGTTACGCTGGGTTTTAAGTATGCTTTGACAGCTAACCATCCACAATCTCCTCCCCTGCCCCTCTCTCCCCGCCAGCAGTTATTTTGGAGTTGGGTGGTAATGTTACTGAAACTGAGGCATTGCTAGGGTATAATTTTGCTTTACCACTAGTGGTAATAGAAATTTTAGGACATAGTAGAAAGAGCATTGAAACTGGTGTGCATTACTTAGGGTTTTCGGTTCACCTCTCATTTATAACTTACATCACTTTGGGTAAGTCACTTTCTGCCCATGGCCTGAAATTATGATCTTTGACATTTCTTCTACCTCCTGAATTTTGTTTCATGTTGATTTTAAAACAATAGAGGAGGGGAAAAAAATACTTACAGGTATACATATTTCCATTCTTTACTCCTAAACAACAAATAACCTTGTCAGCTGGTGCCTGTAAATTGACATGTGAGAGTTCCAGTTGGTTTCACATAAATTGCATTGAAAAGATGTTACATTTTTTATTCTGCAGATCAGTCTTTAAAATTATTTCAAGTTCTCAAACTATACATGGAAAGTTAGTGCATAGGACTATCATTGCTATTTTACAGAATAACTTTGTCATTTATAACTTTTCAGGAGGTTGAGACAGAACAGTATTACAGTTTTTTTCTGGTAGAACTGAAAGAACGTGGCTACAATGGATTCTTTAGTCCTAAATCTAGAGCTAGGACAATGTCAGAACAAGAAAGAAAACATGTTGATGGCTGTGCAATATTCTTCAAAACAGAAAAGTAAGTCATCTTATTTTTTGAACAGAATCATTTTCTCAGTATTTGCAGAATAGAGGCCAAGGACATGGAAATCAGTTGGCATGTAAGACAATGAAATATATGTTATTACTCAAGAAAATAATAATATTGACTTACAGGGTTTTATTTTGTGTTGAATCATTATTAGTAATCTCATTTGGGAAACATGTTTAAAGTGCTGCTGTTTCTTCAGGTGTTTACCAGGGTTTAACTCCAATTGTTACATGAAACACCTTGTAATTGACATTCTCTAGAATGTTAGAGGGTTTTTTAAACACATACTTTAGAAAAGATTTAAAAATTATAAGGTGGAATATTCCAACATGAAACCTAAACAGAATATGACCATATTACCTGAAGTTGTAAAATTATTTCAAGATGTTATTTGTAACAGTAACAGACTGAGAACAAGTTTAAATAGATATGGGAAGCTTGGTGTTGAGTGTGGAGGATTTTCCATAATATAATTTTCACATGTTATCTGTTAAGTTTGGGGGAAACTACATTTCCCACAAAACTAATATCTTGATATTCCCAATTCTATGTTTGTGTGTGTGTGTTTGTTTCTGTTTTAGATTTACTTTGGTTCAGAAACACACTGTTGAATTTAATCAGCTAGCCATGGCAAATTCAGAAGGGTCTGAAGCTATGCTGAACAGAGTCATGACAAAAGATAACATTGGAGTTGCAGTACTGCTAGAACTTCGAAAGGAATTGATTGAAATGTCATGTGAGTGACCGTTTCACTTCCTGTAAAATTGACCTCCAAAATTTAATAGAAAACAGAATTTGTTGTTGGCAGTAGTCTTGTCTAACACCTGAAGAAACTCAGTGAGAATTTAAATCTTATAAAATGCCATATTCCTCTTTCTCTACCCCAAAGCTTAAGGTGAGAAAGCATTATGCAGAATTAAGTATTTCAAATCTTGAAAGGAGTCAAACCAAAGGAAAAGTTGGGTTTTTTACTCCCAAGAATTTTTGACATAGAAATGTTTAAGTAAATACTAGTTAAAATAATTTCAGAGAGAAGAACTTGATATACTTCTATAATTTCTTGATGGCAAGCATAGTCTGTAAGCTAACTTCTTTTCCTAATCCACTTGTAATCATTATTTTAAAGGCCTTGAGTTTTGGGTAGTGAACATCTTATTTCAAATTAAAAATATATTTAGTGTGACCATCATGTGAAGAAGTATCTATCACATGAAGAATAGTTGGAGCTGGAGATATTTAACCTGAAGGCTAAAAAAGATGAAAGGTGGAACTTACTGTCAAACATATCTTTCTTTGAAAGGGTATAGATTTAATTCTGTGAGGTTTGATTTAGAATATCTGAACTAAGACCAGAAGTTTCAAGACAACAGCTATTTAAAAATTAAGCAATCCCAAGTAGAATGGGCAGTTTTTGTTAAACTAGTAAATGTTCTGTGCTTGAAATATTCAACCAGAAGGTTAGCTATTTCTCAGATTTGTTGTATGGCAGATTTAGTCATCAAATTGGAGATGTTAGGTAAAATTTAAGGTTCTTTTTTATTCCTGAGACTGAGATGTTACTTGCTTTCAAACCCAGTAAGAACATATGGGCTGATGGGCAGATTTTATGTTTGTTTTCTTTTTATCTAATTTAGCTGGAAAGCCACATCTTGGAACAGAAAAACAACTTATGCTTGTGGCCAATGCTCATATGCATTGGGACCCTGAATACTCTGATGTGAAGCTGGTTCAAACTATGATGTTTCTCTCAGAAGTGAAGAACATTATTGATAAAGCCTCACGAAACCTCCAGTCCAGTGTATTGGGAGAATTTGGAACTATTCCACTGGTATTATGTGCAGATCTTAATTCTTTGCCAGACTCTGGTAAGAAGAGGATATTCTTTTACGTGCTTTTTAACTTCGCACGTTTTGTATTCTTTTTGATAATGACAAACGTGGCCAAAACAAAAATTTAGTTTGTAGTGGTAGTTGTGAATCAGGTTTAAAATTTTATGTTTTGTGTGTCGTAGGGGAGGGGGTTGTTTTTGAAAATGAAATGAACTTGTGAAAACCTAAGAAGGAAGGGCATCAGTTATCTTGGATAAACATAATTGATAAAATAATTCAGTAAATAACGTAATCATTGCATTGTCCTAAGGGCACATGTAATTCAGACTTCAAACAGGCTTTTATGATGCTTCTTTGGGAGTCTAGCATGTAGTGATATAATTCAATTTAAGCTTACCCTTCTTTTTACAAGCTCTCAAATTTTAGTGGGCTTGATTAGAAAAATACAGTTTGGGTAGAAATTGATAACCTTTATTTACATAGCATCATGCAGGTGATTTTAACAACAAAAGAACGGGGGTCTAGATTTTTATATCAGAGTAAAAGAATACAAAGCTCCTGTAATAGCAAGCTTAATAATAATTCCATTTTTATTTCAACTGTTTATACTTTTACTCATGCAAGGATATTTTTCCTTAGATTTGCCTGAATGTGTACACACACACACACACACACACACATTTGAAGCAGTTAAATTCATAGCACACCATTGCCATCATGATGGATGAGCCATTAAGAAAGATGAACAACTGTTAAAATTCATTTTCAGGGAAAATAAAAATCATAATTTTTTAGTCCATTTCATTAAGCTGTGGGAATTACTGCTACTAAAGCAGTTGAGAATTACTCTTTGGCAGTTTCTCTATACATTTTCCACCCTCTTTAGCTTATAGTGTATCTGACAGGCAAGAAGAGACTAGTTAAATAATACACATCTAAAGACCTATTTCAGTGTTAAAAAATAATAACAAACCCAAGAGAAAATATCCAAACGTACTAATTTAATGAAAATGAGAAATAAGTATTTGTAGAGTCATCTGGCCCTTACGAAATTAGGAGGATAGTGTCTTGGGATGGTGAAGTTACTACATATAACTTCACCTAATTCTGTAACTAACTGGTGGTAATATATAATGATGGATTCCTTGGTGTCATATCAATTAAATAAACAGAAACCTGCATAACTAAGATCTTGATTACATACTATTTCTTTGTAAAAAGTAGATACAACCTGAGGTTTTTTTTTAAAGGATCTAGTTTAACAAATATTATATACCAACACACTTATATTTTGCAGCCATTATAAAAAGATAATTGAGAAGTTATATAAGGTCATGTGATACAATAAAGCAAGGTATAAAGTATACTATTAAAAGTATGTGAAAATGAACTTAAGTCTGGCAAATGTGGAAACAAATAGGAACATTTTAGAAAGTGGATATATGTGTGGTTTAAAACTATTGATTATTGCATTATCTTTTTTATTTATGTTTTATAGACCTGTATGATGATTGTTGACAATGAAAAAGTACATTTATATTTACTATAGGTGTTGTAGAATATTTGAGCACTGGTGGAGTAGAAACAAATCATAAAGACTTTAAGGAACTGAGATATAATGAAAGTCTTACAAACTTCAGCTGTAATGGGAAAAATGGGACAACAAATGGAAGGATCACTCATGGTTTCAAGTTGAAGAGTGCCTATGAGAATGGCCTCATGCCTTACACAAATTACACATTTGATTTCAAGGTAAGTGTTGAGATTGAGAATCTTTTCCTTTTTAATTAATTTTTAATTGAGGTAGTAATAGGATACCCCCATCAGGTATTGCCTCTGTAGTGCACCCAAGATTGATAAACTTTTAAGACCTCTGTTTTTTCAAAGCCTTAAAACTTTGTTATATCTTTAAAATGTGAGTATGTGTTCAGACTAGAATGAAGCCATCTTGAATTAGTTGACAATCATGTTCTTTTATTAGTCTTCTGTAGAATCCCATGTGATTGGTGTCTCATCCCTATTTTATAGATATCTTTTAAATAATTTCCAGGGTAAGAAATCAGATGAAATAATGTTGGTAAATCCTGAGTTAACTGTCATGATTTGGGGGCAGTTATGTTTTTTATGTGCTCCTTACAAACAGCTGGATATGCAGCGTGTTGACATCTAACTTGGTGTCAGTTGGGGTGAGAGGTCCCATCTCATATTTTAATGTAATTGATACTATACTCTTTAGATGCCCAAATGTGGTTTTGTATAAGCCATTTTAAACTTTCTTTCCATTACACAGTTAACAGTTTACTATGTACAGTCTTAACTTAGTTATTCTGTTCATTTTTAGTATGGCTTATTGTTTAGGGCTTATGTCAGCTGTCTTTTTCCGCTACCTTTTGCAATTCTGCTCCCTCAAATTCTAGTTTTATAGTTGGAAAGATTATTCAGGTTTGATTGTTTATTAGAGTATAAATGCTAATGTTAGCTGCATCTTATTTTTGGAGGGAGCGCTTTTAGACTTCTTTGAGAAACAGTTGAAAGCTATAAAAATGTATTATTTGACTTTGGAACAGCCACAGCAATGTATCCATAATGATAGAACCCTGGGAACAGAGGGGTATGTGAAGGTCTTCTACTTGACTGAAGTGGATTGGGTAAAATGAACATTTAAGTGATGGAAGTTAAGCAGAAAGGGGACAAATCAGGACAGTGTAGACACTTAATTGACCAGGAAAGAAGGTCTTTCCAAGGAGTAATGAGTGAGTGTTAAACTTCAGAAAGATGTTAATAAGAGTTGTTTCACTAGTGAGCTAGAAAAGAGACTAGACTGTGACCAGTTGGTAAACACCAACGTGTTAGATTCTTATTTCCAGCAGATTGAAGAGATGAGGTTGATATCCAAAAGTTGGGAGATACTAGGAGGGGTCCCCTCGCCCTCCCCTTGTTCCTGTTGCTGATACAGAGATAGAAGAAAGGCGCTTTAGTAATTGTAAGTTCTTTTGGCCAAGAGCATGTTGATGAGAGGCTGAAGTTACAGGGAAGAGATGATAAACCAAGAAATATACTTATCTGTTGGTGTCAGATCTGTGCCTGGGCGCTGCTGAAGACTCTTCTGGCCCCTGTGGAGCTAACAGTCCCATGGTTTTGACCACACACATGAGTGTGTAGTTATACCTGGGGTGTGCAGCACCATTTGAAGAGAATTGGAGGTGGTAGGAGGTAGTAAGTGGGTGAGGGCAGGATCCAGGCCTTTGGAAAGTGATTGAATTTGACAATTGAAGGTTGAGAAAGAATTAACCAGATGACACATAACACACAGAAGAAAGCAGAAGGGACAGAGAACATGGGCACAATCCTTGAGAGCTTGTCACCTACAAAGAGTGTCATGTCATCCCCCCTTCCCCAGGGTCATGTGGCGTGGGGTAATGAGCAAGGAAAATGGCACAAATAAGTTAGTAAAGAGAAGCACAGACCATGTCATGAGAGCATGAAGAGATCCAGATAGGAGAGAGAATAGTTATCTCTAAACTGACTGTATTCTACTAGATTTGACATTTGTGGGACCATTTGGTTTATATATGTTGTTGCCTCTTCCTATATATGAATAAGTTTTTTATTTACCAACCATGAACTATAAGATTATGTCTTGAAAGCTATCAGTATTTAGTGTTATCTTACGTAGGGGCCTTGTCTTTTATTTTCTCCTTCTGTTTTTCAGGGTATAATTGACTACATCTTCTATTCTAAACCTCAGCTGAACACTTTAGGCATCCTGGGACCTCTGGATCACCATTGGCTAGTTGAGAATAACATCAGCGGCTGCCCACATCCACTCATCCCCTCTGACCACTTCTCACTTTTTGCACAACTGGAGCTCTTACTGCCTTTCCTGCCTCAAGTTAATGGCATTCACCTTCCTGGTAGGAGGTAGTCAAGTACCTTCAGAGGATGACCTCAGTTTCACTTGTAAACACATAAAACTCTGAATATTGGGGAGTGAGGTATGGCCACTAGGGATTTAGGGATTTTTTTTTTTCCTTAATGATGATTTGAATTTTCAATCTGATTATTTGATAAGGATATAAGTATGAAAGCCAGGTGCTAGCAACAGACAAATTCTGAGCCCAATATGCTTTATATACTGTTAGACAGGGATTGGTGTGTTTGCACCTATCTTTAAATTGTTACAAGTAATTTTCCTGTTTCTTCTATCTAATATAATATTTTCATGCCTTGAAATAGGAAAGTGTTTGAACAGCATATTCTCTTTGCACAGAAATCTGTAGCACTACTTTTTTGAGGCCAGTAATACCATCCAGTGACCATTCTTCCATACCCTACTCCCTCCTTTTTCAGACTTGTTTGTATAATACAGAATTTGAATTTAGCCTTTATGATTGTATATGATCCACAGAATACCTGATTTATGAAATTTTGTACTTAAAAAAAAAATCAGATTTGGAAATGATTGTATTGTAAAACTAAGGCTAAGGGTTTTTTTTTTTTTTTTTTTTTTTTTTAAAACCTGTTTCATGCGTTATAAAGGCCAGCTTGTAAAAGAAGTTGCAACAGACTTTCTCTGCTGATGATTTGCACTGTTGGGGTTTTGTTAGCCCTTTTATACTACTTTATTTTTAAATTGAGAACATTGCTCTTTAAATCTAAAACTCTTTAAAGCTTAGATTTTCTCAAACCAGAGGCAACTTATCTATGAATTCCTGGGTTTTTACGTAAACTTTATCTACGGGACAGATAAACTGAGCAGTGAATCATCTGTAGGCATTTGTGAATTGAATGTAATGGTTGATATATGTACATTCTGATATTTTTAAATTTTTAACTTTTTTAAGTTAAAAAATTCCAGCTGCTTAGGGTACAGTTTCTTAACTCCATTTTAGACGCTTCCTGTCCTATCTCCACTGTGCCTGCCTAAATTTGTTCTCACCAAGCACTGCCTGTGCATGCAGAGAAAATCTGTGCATCCTCTTTTATATTTTTTAAATAGTTTAACATTTGTGAGAATTTTAAGAAAATGCTTTTGTATGAGCTGTGGCTTTTTTCCATTGTGAAGCATTGAATATCACATTTTGGAACATGTTCATAGGGTGGGTCCTGGGTCTTTGCTCACCAGACCCCAAGCACTGCTTATTGGTGTCATTCATTGCACAGTGCTGTTGTCACCCAGAATACTACTATCATGTGATTGTTTTCCATGTATTCTTTAGTCTTCATGTTTTTTAAAAATCATTCCTTTTTTGAAGAAAATAATTTTCCATTTATGGAAATAAGATGTATTTTCAAAACCGGTCCCTAAGACAATTCTTCAGATCATTTTTTTAAAGTGACTAAGTCATTTTAATATGTCAACTAAGATAAAAGTTATACTGTACCCTGTATTTTGCCCGTAGTGCCATTAATTAATTAGAGATTAAAGCCAGCATTCACCTTATAAAGTTTAACTCGTGTATATTCTGTTCTTAATTCTTTCATTCTTCTCTCAAAAATCAAATGAATTCAGAGGGAGCTTGGTCTTAACTGCTTTTGTTTCAACTGCAGGCAGGGGAGCAAAAGGACACCATGTGAGCATTAAGAAAAAAATTGTTGAATGTTCTTAACAATTTTTATACAGAGATTTAGTCATTTTGGATAATGACTTAAAATTTTATGATAAAATGTCTAGCACTTAATTGTGCTTACTCTGTTTTTAAGAGAAAATATAATTACATATTGTTTAAATAAGCAATTTTTTTTCCTTTTTAAAAAAATTCTCCGAAAAGTTTTGATCTTAAGTCTTTGTCTGGGACGTGGTTTTTCCTTTGAGGTTTTCTAAGATTTTGTTGTGATGTGTTGTTTTGGGTTTTTTTTTTTTTTTTTTTTTTTTAATTTTTTGCTTTTCTTTTAAGTTGTGCTGACACCAAACACATCCAGTTTATAATCAGTACATTGGAAAGCTGGTATTATTGATACAGAACCAATGCATAACTTTTTTTTTAATGTGGGGTTTTTTTTTTTTTTTTTTGTAAAGTGTGAATAAAAGGTGTGTTTACTCATTTTTCCTAAACACTGTGTTGGTAATGTGCATCATGACAATTTCCAGCAAGGGCGGGCTGGAGCTAGTTGGACTGATGAGATGAAAACCGCTTTTCCTATGATCTGCATTATGTAATCACAGGTCCAGAGAGCTTTATGGAAGGGGAGGGGAGAAGCACTTACTCGTTTTGTATTTGTTAATGGAGGATGTATTCTTTTCATAGATGCTGGAACTAGAGTGCACTTGTTAGATTCTAAAGGTTTGAGCTTTATACAAAATGTTTTCATCTGTATTTGTTATTGTCTACAATATATTTGAATTTGGGAACAGCATAGTAAGATAAAATGGCCTGTTATGTCTTGAAAATACTTGTTTTTGCCTCTTCTGGGCTTACTGCATTCTGTGGGTCAGTTTGAACAGCTTCTCTACCTTACTTAAATAGTGGTAAGTTGAACCAAGAGTGTAGATTTGTAACTGTAACCTTCAAAAGAGAAGAAAATATTTTGGGTCTATACAGAATAAACAGTCACACCAAAATAGGCTATGATACCTTGTTTAGCAAGATTTTGTGTTTTAAATGTTTCCGTGTCCTGAACAATTTCCAATAATCCACACTTCCTAAAATGCAATAATAAAAACTAGTATGTTTTTTCAAAAGTTCTGTAACAAATACATTTAATGTGGTGTTGCCATAATGTAATTTCAGTGTTCTTGCTGGATAAATCCATCTTATTAATGTTTTACAGAAATTTGAGGTATGTTTTCTGTTTTAATGATCAGAAATTTGGAGGCACTCAATTCCTTGTCGTGAATCTCTTGAAGTACAGTTTACCGTGTTAGTGATAACTATTTATGCTTTGAGAATTTAAATAATGTTCATCAAAATTAATTTATGGCATAATTTAAAGCTATAGAAATAAATTGTTGATTGCAACTTTAATAGTTCTAGAAGATATGCAAAGAACATCTCCTAGAAATGTGTTTATTTTTATTGGATTTGGTGACAGCCAGGAAGATTTATTTTGTGTTAGCACTTTGAAACTAAGGACATTGTTGAATTGGATAGAATGCACTTCTAAATATTGAGATTAAAATTTCAAAGCTCTTCTGAAATTCAGATTTTCAATAATAAATTCCAGTTTTAGTATTCTGTTTTTTTAGTATTTAAACTCTTGGAATTAGTTTCTATAGTGACTTTTAAGGTCTGGGAGCCATTGCCACATAAGGACAAAAACCAACCTAGGCAAACCAATTAATGAACTAATTAGACTGTCCAGTACAAATACAGCAGGTAATTCAAAGAACACTTTTAGCAAGTGTTTCAACCCCATTCATAAGCAGTATTTTAAGATGTTCACTTGGCTTTTTTTGGTTAGATTTTAATACTAGTATGTTGAGGTAGTGTCAGAAATAGAGTATCTAGTCTTTATTCACAGTACATTATATTGTGTGATGCACTGGACTAACTTTTGTTTACCATTCATGTAACAAAATCCAGCACATCTGCACTAAGCTCAAAGAATGTCACATTTGCCTAGGCAGCTCTTTGATAAGGGTGATGGGAAACTGAATATGTACCTATGGACTGACTGGTGGTAACAAGGGCTTTTACTGTTCTTTTCAGTCGAACCTTCTTGGTCAAATTGTAACTAGCTAGTATTATATTTATATACAGGGTCTCTTTTCTTTACTGATGTATTTTCCTACTCATAGCCAACCAATAAATACAATATCTGTTTCAAATATCTTAAAAGTGTAATTTGTATAGCTGTAGAACTGAGGTTTCAGAAAAATGTTAATGAGCAAGACCACATATTTAAAATTCTGAATCATCTGGGACAGGGTTATAATTATAATCACCCTTTGAAAGGGAAGAGTAAATGGGGGTAGGGCCATGATTTGGGGAGATGGTATAAACTTAAGGATTTCTTTATTGATTGTGGTATTCTGTGTAACACTCAAATCTTTGCCAAAGTTCAATTTTATATTTAGGCAACTGATAGTCCTTTTTGAATTTAGGATTTTTGTTGTTGTTACCATATATCTAATTAGTATAAAAAAAAATGGATCCATGTGTCTTCTGTCTTTTGAAAAGGAAGTTGACATATTTTCAATAAATGTTTTTAAATTCTGTAGCAAACATTGTATCGGTGGGATTATACTTAATGTTTTGTTACATGTATATTTTATTGTCTATATGAAATTTGAAAATGTGTGACTCCCAGAACATTAAGTCCCATTTCTTTCTAGAAACTAATTCTATAACATGTCAGTTTTTATGTAGATTTGCTAGGGAAAAAGTTAAAATTAGAAGGCAGTTTTGATAAGCGAATATTTGCTTGAGATGTCCAGTTTTTAAGGCAGGCATTTTCTACTTAATCCTAATTATATAATTTACCTCTATATACAGAAGTCTTGTTACTCCTTTTAATTGTCAAAAAATAAATGTAAGAAAGTTAATGAAGTATGCCCATGTTACTTTATTCTACTTAATTTTCTTTAGAGAAACAAGAACCTTAAGGAAACATGATTTAGGTTTTAAATGATAGTGTTACATAGAGAATTTCCTTTCTGAATGAAGTATTATTTAGATCTTCAAATTTAATTGATTTTAAAATAAATGTTCACAAATACTGTAGAGACAATTTTAATATACAGATCATATACTAGAAGAATCTTACACAAGATAGTTTTAACTAGAATTTTCTGAGAATTTGAGAAATACTTCTTCCAAATAATACTTCTTCCAAATAATAAAACATAAAATATTAAAAGTAGCTTGCTGCTTCTGAAATGAGTCTCACTAGTCTGTAGGAATTGGGAACAACTGGGTTTGAAACCCAGTTTCTAAGGTTTCTTTAGTAGCATTACCATCAATCAAATGTATAAGGAGACATCAGTTTTCTCATTTTTATGAGTGGCAGACTTCAAATCACTCTAATCTCAAAAACTGTTATTAGGTCCTGTCATTAGAAACCACTCACATCACCAGCAGTGGGCTCCCACTCTAGCTGCAGAGTACTTCCCTAGCCTCCTAGCACAGTGAGTCGGCTGAGGGATCCCAGGTTGTCCACAGCATGACTGCTTTATTGGGAACTTGTGATTTCAGTATCTCCCCTTCACTGCAATCCTAGTACTGTTTGTTTCCCAACTTCATGTAATTCTTGAAAACCTGCTTCATCAAAGATAGTGAAGAGGAGTCGTGGTGTGACTGAAACCAGGTAGAAAGAATCTGCAAAATGTAGGATGTGCTTGCCTTCTAATATTCATACTCTTTCAGATGGCAGCTTTTTAGGGCAGTGATGTAGGTATGGGGTTGGAATCCCTGTTGTACTCAGTGTTCTGAACTTTATTTGGGGGATTTGCCAGAAGCTCCCCCCCTCCCCCCATTGTAATATTTGCTGTTGGTGACTTTGGACAGGCCCAGTGGGTAAGAGGACTATAAGTAATTGGTTCATTTTGGCGATCAGTTGTTCTTAATCTATTTTTCTTGGCCATCATAATGATCACTACTCATTTAAAATTTCTTGCCAGGCTTTGTGCTTAGATTAGAAATAGAGGTTTATCAGACTTGGTCTCTGACTCTAAGTTTCTCATTGATTATTATAATCTTACTGCAATACTTGAGAAAGACCAAATATGAAGGGAGCAAGTATGTCTATGTGGGTCCATGAAGTCTTCCAGAGGTGAGCTTAAAAGGCAGTTTTGAAGGACTAAATGTGTTTCCTTGATGAATAATAGGAGCTGTATTTATTTTATAAAAAACCTTTGTAATGTGTGTAGGTGTGAATGGAATGGGTTTCAGACTTGTGGATCCTTTTTTAAAAAAAATTTGCGTACATAAACTGGGGTACAGGCCAGAGGTATGGGGATGGGGGTGAAAGGATTCACCAGAGACAGAGTGGGGAACAGGACAGGCATACTGGCTGAACTGAGGGGAGCAGCAGGCTAGGCAGGAGAGGTCTGCTGAGCCATATGGGTTGCTCCCTGGCTGGCTGGGGATCTAACTCGTGCTGCGGTGGCTACGGGCAGCTTCTTAGGCTACGTCTTAACCCCTTGTGCCACTAGAGAGGCCCTTGTTGTGGATCTTTCAATGGATGTGTACTAGTGGAATCTGAACTAATGGATGTCTTTGAATCTTAAGTCATGTGCTAAAGATTGAACTTCAGCCTGTAGGTGGTGGTTAAAACACACAGGGTTTTAAATGGGAGTAGCATTACCAGAACCGTTTTAGAAAGGTGATTTTAGCAACTCTGTGGAGGGTAGATTAAAAGAATAAGAGTAGTTAACTGGTTTATGACTTGGTCCAGCTGACAGATGGTGTGCCAAGGATGACTTGGAAGATGGGAAGGGTAAAAAGGAAGGGAAAAACGAAATATTTCAAAAAGAGATACTCATTATTAGACAAAACCCTGACTGAGCATCACCACATTCTTACCACCAAGGGACTCATATTTTCTTTACTGACACAAACATTTGGTCAAGAGTTTTGCTTTCCAAACTACATTTTACTTCATTTCCCATTGCTTTTTATTCAAATTTTAGTCTGTAAAATAGATCCAGTGTGCCTCTACTGAAGATAACTTGCAGTGCTAATTTAATTCTTATAGCCTGTTTAGGCTTTTTATATTATTGAAAATGCTTTATGTGTAAAAAGACTGTCAGAGGCTACTTGGTAAGTCTAGGCATTGGATGAAACTTTAATAGATAAATATGTAACAAATGATAGGGATCTAAGAATTAAGCCAGTTGAGTTTCCCCTCATGCAAGGTTAGACCTCAGTGTGGTAAATCTTGCCATGTGTGACTTTTGAGCACTTGAATATGGCTAGCCTATTCTGGAACAGAGAACTTTTTCCATTCAAAGAAAGTTATTTTGCTAGGACCATATTTGTTGTATTGTATAAAATGTGAAACCAGTGTATTATTTATGTTAAACATAAACATTAGTGATGTCAAAGAATTGACTCCATTTTAAGAATGTTTCACTAATTCACCAAAGTGACTTATTGTATCTGAATATCTTGTGCAAGCAGCATGACTTACTGTAGCTATGTAAATCATAATTGGACATGTTTATCTACTTTGATATAAATTATTTTTCTATTGAAAAATAAGTATGGTCAAATTGCTAAATTTAAAATCAGTTCTACAGAGAACTGAGCTAGTATGATGACTAGAAAGTACTGGAAGGTGTATCATGGATTTCATGGTGAATGACAGTGCAATTTGTTGTACTAGAGCAAGAGAAAAACTGCTATTCCTTGCATTAAAAAAGTTACAGATAATAAAGTGACACTATTAAGATACATTTTCTTCAAATATATAATTGAATGTAATCTTTTCTGTCAACAGATGAAATTAATCACCTGAAAATTAAAATTAGATGTGCAACAGATTTTTTTAAGGATTTATTTATTTTTATACAAGAACCGGGATATAGGCCAGATGCACAGGAGGGTGAGAGGATTCACCAGAGACAGAGTGGGGAACAGAACAGGCAGATTGATGAAATACACTGCTGCGGGCAGTAGCAGGTGAGACAGGAGGTCTGCTGTGCCATGTGGGATTCTCGGCAGCTGGGATCGAACCCGCGGTGCAGACAGCTTCACAGTGCGTCACTCAACTGCCTGTGCCACCAGGGAGGCCC